AATACCCTGGTACTTCTTCCTCTCTATTGTACGCGTGCGCAGGAAAGAGTTTAATAAGTTTCCATAGTTACCATGGTCTCAGGTATCCACGAATGAATGTAAGAAGACCAAAAAAATTAATTTAATCTTTTTTAAAAAGTTGTTAGAACATATTTCTTACCTTTGCATGCTCCAGTTGAATGTTGTTTACAAGTTTGAGGTAAAAATAAGAGTTGCATGACCTTGACATATATGAAACAACGAAACGGTAGATACAACCTTTATTTTTCCGGCACTTATATTGTTCAGACATTTCTTGCAGTTTAATTGTCATATATTCGCTAATTACTCATAATTTTCATAAATCTTTCTCTGTATGCTACAGATATCTTAAAATTACGGTATGATTTTGACTCACAGTACCACTTTAATGATGCCCCAACATCGGTTCACATCGGCCTAGTAGTCCTTAAAGTATCGGTCACATTATCCAGCGATGGGTGTTCGATGGGCAAGCAATTTATTTTATGAAAATGGCTTGGTTCCCGGCCGGACATACAAAGGCCCAGCGATGCATCGCTAATCATAAAACGATGTTCCAGGATAATCGGTCGACGTATATTACATCGCTCATATATTGATGAACATCTTTCATACATCGGTCGACTACGGGCCAATGTTTGATCGAACATCGACCGATGATCGGCCGTTATCTGTTAAACACCACTCAACCCCCCCTCCCCCCCCCCCCCCCCCCCCGATGACCTCAGATTCAACGGATTTTGGACGGTGCTCGACCAGACATCGGCCGATTCTTGAAAGATGTTTAATGATGGGTTGTCGATGAGAAATGATGTGAGGCATCGTTGGAGACATCGCTGAATTTTAAATACGAATTATTTCCTACCGATGAGCCCACCGATTCGCAAAATCGCCCCAGTCACCGTCCGATCACTAGTGGTGATCAGCCGGCAACCACGCCATTTTCATAAAAAAGCGCATCGGTGTCTCATCGTATACCCCATCGCTGGATAATGTGACTGATACTCTAGGCAGTATTTCTGATGGATGATTAGCTTGGATGTTAATATTCTGCCGAGGAAGAAACCCGGTAAAAAAAGCTAGAATATCATATGCATACATCAAACATGTACAGGAGGGTCATTTAGGTAAACAGGGATCCATTGATATTTCAAGACATCAGATGTTGATGTAAGAATATCAACGGTTCCGTTTAAATTTTTTCAGTTATTGCCCTAGACACATTAACCGGCCGGTGGCCGTAGACCGGTGGTAATTCGTGGTGTGAGCAATGTCTAAACATCGGTCCCCATCGACCTAGTATCAGTCACATTATCTAGCGATGAGGTAACCGTATACGATGGACAACCAACACATTGTTTATGCCTAGGTCACATTTGCCGGCCGGTAGCCGTAGACCGGTGGTAATCGGTGGTAATCCGTGGTGTTAGCGATGCCCCAACATCTGTCCACGTCGGCCTACTAATCCTTAAAGTATCAGTCACATTATCCAGCGATGGGTATACGATGGGCAACCAATGCTTTTTATGATAAAAATGGCGTGGTTGCCGGCTGGACTTTCAAAGGCCCAGCGATGCATTGCTAATCAAAAAACGATATTCCAGGATAATCGGCCGATGTATATTCCATCGGTCATACATTGGTAAACATTGTTCGTATATCGGGCGACTACGGGCCAATGTTTGGTCGAAAATCGACCGGTGATCGGCAGTTATCTGTTGAACACCATTCAAACCCCCCGATGACATCTGATTCAACAGATATTGGACGATGCTCGGCCATACATCGGCCGATCCTTGAAAGATGTGTTAATGATGGGTTACCGATGAGGAGTGATGTGAGGCATCGTTGGAGACATCGCGGAATTTTAACTACGAATTATTTCCTACCGATGACCCCACCGATTCGCAAAATGGCCTCAGTCACCATCCGATCACTAGTGGTGATCAGCCGGCAACCACGCCATTTTCATAAAAAAAACGCATCGGTTTCTCATCGTATACCCCATCGCTGGATAATGTGACTGATACTTTATAGAGGATGCTTACTCTTCCATGGCTTAAATGCAACTTTTCGCAAATTCTAAGGATAACACCATGGCCATGTTTGCAAATGCTATATCCATCGTTAAAGTATCAGTCACACTAACCAGCGATGGGGTATACGATGAGAAATCGATGCTTTTTTCATAAAAACAGCGTGATTGCCGGCCGGACACCCATAATAATCGGACGGTCACTGATGCCATTTGGTAAAATCGGAGGGGTTCATTGCTACATAAGTTGTAGTTAAAAATCAGCAATGTCTGCACTGACGTCCCACATCGCTCCTCATCGGCAACCCATCTTTAACACATCTTTCAAGGATTGGCCAATGTATGGTGAATATGTCTCCGTCGAGTCTGAGGTCATCGGCGAGTTGATTGCAGGGCAACAAGCATTGGTCGATCATCGGTCGATGTTCAACCAAATATTGGCCCATAGTCGACCGACGTACGAACGATGTTCAGCAATAGCAATGTATGAGCAATGTAATATACATCATCCGATTACCTTTCACATGGAACATCGTTTTATGATAAGAAATTCATTGCTGGGCCTTTGTAAGTCCGGTCGGTAATAACGCCATTTTTATCAAAAACGCATTCCAGAAGTACGTCAGCAGGAAATTTTTCAAACATTGTTAAATACAAAAAATATTCCATCATTTCCTTCAAGACTCTACGAGAAGTTCTATAGTCTTTATCTCCTTCAAATTCTGCTATCTCTGAGAACGTGTTTTAGTAGCTGCTTTCATTTACTTCAATACAAACAATGCATCTTTAAAGTAATTTCGAAACCACCACAAACTACCAGAAATACAATTTTTATTTCTATAGGGACTTTTCAATTTTTTTTATTTCGGTAAATGAATGTCTACAATAAATATTTGATAATCTTCACTTATCCACTTCTTCCTTCAGCTACAACGATTTTGGAACCTGCATTAACGGACAAACCAAACGGACACTCCAGAAAACTAGATAAAACACGCAGGAACTGACCATTGCTATTAAGAATATGAACACAATGGTTGTTTGAATCCGCTATCAAAATTTGACCTTTAGCATCAGTAGCAATTATACCGAAAGGTCTGAATTCCCTACTCCTGTTAACAGACCACGGTATTTAAATCGCAGTTTTCCGGCTTAATTGACGACAACGACTGCCGCTGCATCGCAGTCAGCCACACAGATGTCTTGATTTTTGTTTTCTGTTAAGTATTTCACTCGCTTTCCGCAAGAATAAAGAGGTTGCCCATTATCATTGAACTGAATTGATTGTAGCAACACTGATTCCGAAAAGCAGTCTACTCTTGTCTGAGATTTATCAGCACTGACTACTACAACCAATAGTTCACACAAAGATGTAAAACAAATGTTTAATGGATGCCAATGAAAAGAATTAATCAACTTTTCTTCTCTGCCACTTTTCACAACATAAACAGTTTTTTATAGTCTACTGGAATAAGCAATGTCACCATGTCTTGTGATAGCTATATCATTAGGGTATTTGCATAATTTGGTATTAATTGTCCTTTGCATCACACCCTGAGTGTCGAAGCAGTTTATATTGCTACCCATTCCATTGACCCAAACCTCATCCTTTTGCCCAACAGCTCAGCTTCGAAGTCTTTTGAAACCTTCATTGATAATTTTCTTCAGTACAGGTTCTTGGAGAATTCCATCATCTTTGGGGATTTGTAGCGTGCATGTATTCATCTTCTTTTTTGACATAAGACTTTTGCGGTACCTTACTGAACTTTTCCGACTTTGAAATAAACTTGATAAACCGTGATAGGCTGAGAGAGAGAAAAACATCTTCAGTTTCTTCTTTCGCTTCACCTATCTCTGAAATTGTTTTTCTCAAGGTATTGTAAATTGACCTTTAAAGCTTGCAGTTGTGAATCTCTCATTTTAATTATTTGAATTTTGAAGATGTCTCTGACGATATTTATCTCTCTATGTCGTTCTTCAGCATGTTTCTCAACTCCTTGTATTATATCTTCATATTCTTCCTTTAAAGATTTCATCATGTTTTTGATGTCCTCCTCAATAAAAGCATAGGTAGGGAATATAATGTTTTTCATTTTATCCAAGTCACTTTCTATAGAATCTTGTTTAGACTTAAATACTTCATACAGACTTTTGAATCCATGTCTTTTGTGTTTTTCAGAGACTATACAGTTTAAACACACTGGCAGGTCACAGTCTTCACAATACATATCACATCTAGTGTTGTCATGGGCCTTGCAATCTGGAAACTTTGGAGATGTTTTCTTGGAGTCGTAAGAGACTATTTTGTGGTTGTCGTAGCCATCAGAAATATGTTCTCCGACACAGACAGGATAAATCTCACAAAGATGCTGGACTTCAGCAGTTTCACAAATCTCACAATATAACACATCTTGTCCTCTAAATCTTGGATCCATTTTATTTTACACTAAAACATTGAAAGAAATACTATCAATTATCAAAATTAGATTAAATAATAAAATGCGGACTTTATTTGTCGATTTTCTTTTGAGACCGTTATCACTGTTCCATTCGCCCTTTTCATTTTTTAGAGGTTTATATGTCGTAACATTACGACAAAAACAATACAAAAATCTCCAAATATACACATGCAAGGGCCAATATATGATCGTTCTTGAGAAGGGGGGCACCAAAAGAGAAAAAAATCAATTTAACTGCATATTTAAAGAAAAGTTTGCGGGAGGGTTTAAACTTCTTTACCTCCTTTTGTACCTTTTTTTACTCGAATATCCTTATTTCACTATTCTGCAAAATTACTGCTAAACTGTAAGATAGATATCCTTGTTTACCAGTCGCTCTCATCAGAAGCCATGGCAGTTCTGGCGTGATGCACTGAGTCTTGCGCTTGAAAATTTTACTCAGTGAAGTAGATCTTCGTGGATTATAAATAATTATGATGTATTATATCACTAAAAAAGGGGACTAACCATTTCCTACCCCCCTCCCCAGTTCCGAAACCTATGCACTGTCAGTCGTTTGGCCAGTTCCGAATTTGGATCAGTTCCAAAATATATTTAATTGAAGATCTAATTATCAATAAATTCAAAAGTCAAGTGTAAAACAAACTGATACCTATGGAATGAGTTATGAAGGCCTATTAATGAGTGCTTGAATTTTATAATATGTTAAATTTTGATTTTTTTGTCGTCTGTTTATGTTCTTTAAAAATATTATGAGTTGCAGTAATAATATATTTTTTAATTGCTAATTTAATTTTTTAAAATATGAAATAAGCAATAATATAGGAAAAATAGACGAAAAATTTTATTTTAAAAAGTCATTTCAATTTTAGATTTTTTAATGTGTTTCGCGAAAACTCATGATATTAATTCAAACAAAATTTCGAAAATTAAACAAGAGTATGTATACTAGTATTCAAAAATACTCTCAGATATGAAAATCAAATTGTTCCCATTTCTGAAGTTGAGAGACAGAATCATTTGGCCTTCAACCCCCTTAATCGAAATAACAAAATCAAATTAATAAGAAACTCCAAGCATTTATCTGAGAATAAGGATTTGAGATCCATTAAGTATTATAGAGACCACTTTAAAAATGTGAATTCTAATAACTGGATTATATTATGCTTAATATATTCTTCGTATATTTTTGGATATAAAAAGACTCAAAGAGTATAATAATTTGGAGAAGAACTAATTTTCTCACTCTGACTAGCAAAGATGGCTCTCAACACACAAACATAAAAGTAATTATTTTTCTGAATCCTATCTCTTTAAAATAAAATTATATTGTGTAAAATTTCACCGCCATTTTTTTCAAATATCCTTAAAATTTTGAATCTTTCTGGATCTGTTTAAAACTGAATGGACGTACGATGGGGTTATGACCTATCTTCCTACCAGAAAACTACTAGTATGTTTCAATTTACACAATCGTCTCTATGGTAAGATATTGTACAATTATTCACCAGTTTAGATTTATTATAATAATCTAATAAATTTATTAGATTTATTATTTTTATTTTTAAATAAAAACAGAAGAAACCAAGAGTGGCGATTTAACAATTATACTATTGCCTTTAAGTTTTCGCTTGATAAGATAAATTCAATGAGTCATAGAGCAAAGTCACAAAGTTTGACTTAGAACTGAACAAATAAATACAAATTATACAGATATTTGGCATTATATAATCTTCACATATACAGTGAAACAGTTTTTAGATTCGATTTGAGGAGATTTTGTATTTTTTAAGTTGACTTATTTTTTTATTGACTTTTGATATTTTGTTCGTTCTCTTTATGTGTTTCATTTGAAGTAAAAGAGGAAGAAGATAAACAGATCAGTTTTATATTTTAATCTTTACATTAATAATTTTTACAATAGCGGGTAAAATTCGGTCTGATGCACATGGTTCCGCCATTACACCGTCTCCAACGCGGATAGCACCAGTCTCCCCTACCTAATAAATAAACACAACGTGTTACATTGACATTATCTCCCCGACCTAATAAATAAACACAACGTGTTACATTGACATTATCTCCCCTACCTAATAAATAAACACAACGTGTTACAATGGCAATATCTCCCCTACCTAATACGTTTTATTTCCACTATTGAAGAGTTATAGTTCTTAGTGTGCTTTTATTGTGAAAAAGTCGGAGAATGTACGAATTTGGGGACAAACGTAACATAAACATGTATAAACAACATATTGAATGTCGATGAACAAATCCTAACAAAATGTATATGAAATATTTTATTGATGTGGACTCTATTTTTATCACGAGTAGAGATGCAAGGATATTAAAGTACATCTGCTGGTGATTGTATGTATCTATTTATCGTAATGATACATCTAAAGTCAATACACATACCTCGGAAATATCGTAATTTTATTAAGTGACGATAAAGTTTTTGCTGTTTTTAATGTCTTTTAGTTGTTCTATCCTTTAGTTAGACTAAGACTAACAAATGCACTTAACATTTAAATTGGATAGATACTGGCATGTTTTTTATTATCCGCAATGCCATGCTGTCCCAGTCAGACGACCAAACGCGACTCTAATTCTGAAGAGTTCACAAATGGAAATATAACGTATTAATACACACAGCGTGTTACAATGGCATTATCTCCCCTACCTAAAAAATAAACACAACGTGTTACAATGGCATTATCTCCCCTACCTAATTAATACACACAGTGTGTTACAATGGCATTATCTCCCCTACCTAAAAAATAAACACAACGTGTTACAATGGCATTAACTCCCCTACCTGATAAATAAACACAACGTGCTACAATGGCATTATCTCCCCTACCTAATTAATACACACAGCGTGTTACAATGGCATTATCTCCCCTACCTAATAAATAAACACAACGTGTTATAATGACATTATCTCCCTACCTAATAAATAAACACAACGTGTTACAATGGCATTAAATTGCTAGTGAAGCTAAAACAAATTCAAAGAAAAATATCTCTCAAGGTGTTTTTTGATGTTTTAATCTTATATCTTAAGGACAGATGATACAAAGATTGGTTTATTTCATTGAAAATGATGTAAAAAAAAAATTCTAGAAAATAATTTTTTTTAAACCTTCTATGATGTTCAATCTCTCTGTGACCATCCTTATTAAGCTGTGCAAAATTAATATTTTTCACGTCAAATCCCATAATTGTGAGAATTTAATAAAAATACTATTCGGTTAAACGTATACATTTAACTCATTAAAACATGACCCAAATTAATATTTTCAAATTTTTTGACAAAAGTTTGTTTCTATAATCTGGCCTTAACATTTACATTTTTTGATAGGATAATTGCATGAAGACTATCCGTTCCTAAGTAAGGACCAATAACTCTCAAAATTATTATTTAAACATGTATTTTTAAAAAGTGCAACAATGTACAAGCTTTAAATGAAATCTTTTCTTCAGGTCATTTATATTTAAAAACAGAATATGCTTGTTTCCCCCTTGTTTTCCCCTCACTCATTACAACATACGTGAACAATCTCGCCCAGCATCTCCATTTTGACACGTGCACGTGTATGAGGTTTCTGTGTTGTGGCAGGTCCCTCCATTCTTGCACGGCATAGAATGACACGAAAGTTCTATGAATAAAAATTCCAATTAGAAAAGAAATCCTTTATTTATTTTATTAAACAGGCAACCAGGGTGTAAAAAGAAGCATAACAAGGGGATTTAATTGTTTTTTTTTTTAACTCTAAAGCTCACAAAATTTTAATACCACTATATTTTGGAACTTTCAGTGTTTAAAATACAAAAAGTCGTAAAGGAAATGTAATTATGTAAAAATATGAATCATATAATTGATAAACATTGAATCTTAACATATTCCAGAAGAAATTAAGAAAAAAAGAATTTACTGCGGTATCTATTTCATTGTGAGTGTGTGTGTAACATTTTATAGTTAACTTTAAGTATTTTCTTTCCTTTTTGTTTAATCATCTACATTTAGATAATGGATCTACTTGAAGAATTGCCCTAGTTAACGGTTGTTCATAACATGCAGTTGAAAGATTTTAAAGTCACACGTTATAGTAAATGTATTCACTTTTAATAATACATACTAAAAAGCTATCACCCTTAACTTTGTATTTTGATTTATTATCCTTTATTCAGACATTTGATACACTTTTAAAAAATCTTTTCTAAAAGTTTAAGACAATAGTATCCTTCAAATGAAATTCTAATGACAATTAAAATTAATTTTTCAAAAAATATTTGATTATATATTCGAAAATATAATATGAAAATATAATAGCATAAAATTGCATCATTTCAGATAATTTGATGAAAGAAAAAAAACAACTTAGTTTTCAATGAAAGAAGGTTGAGAAGGATATATGGAGATAACGAGAAGAAATTAACCATAGAATTAGAAGAACTGCGAACAATAGTATTGTTCTCCCGCCTACTTCAAAATCAGTTTTCAAAAGTTAACATATTTGATGAATTTTTAATATTTTTTATAGATAATTCTATGAATTTTCATAAAACATTACTTATTTGGTAAAACAAAGATAGATAACTCTAAAATTTGGTAAAACTTGTGTTTTTCACTATAGAAATCAATGGAAAACGGAAAATATTTTTAAAACATCTTTCCTCCCCCGTGTCACAAAAATTCCTTTTTACAGGTAATATGGAATGTTATTTCACAAATTCATACCAAAGCTTTTTGTGTGACACGGGGGGTACATATGTTTATTCAAAAAAAAAACGATAAAAATGCTTATTTTTCATCAATTTTAAAGCGATATAAAACTGAAACATTATATTTTATTGAAATATTTATGTTTTGTTCATTTGCCTAAAACATAAGAAAAGATATAAGGAACATTTAATCATATCTAAGACTATTTCAAAATACTGTGATGCTTGAAACTCCGATTTTAATGGAAAAAATCGTCTACCCCCCCCCCCCTTTTCAAGAGCTGGATTTATGGATAATTTACTGTTTATCGCTGGTATTAAGACATTTTATCAATTACCATTGAACTGTTCTTTGTATCAAACAAAGATTTTATGGCCAAATTGCTATTCATATTGAATTAAATGGTTCCAAAATGTAGGCGGGAATCGAGAGTTAGCGTGCGTGTTTCTTTCTAAGATATGCTTCATCTATCCCCGACGTCAATATTTAAGAAAAAAATCTTGAGTGATATAATATATTTTAAACGATCAACCCATACTCATTTTCTGCTGACATCTACGCCACGTCCATTTCGCTGGACATTTACTGTTGCTCGATAGTCCGGTCTGATGCAGAATTCTCCTCTGTCGCAATATTTACGGTAGGAAAGGCAGAAGTCACCTCTAACTAAAGTACAAAGATATTACAATGCTTTGATATGAAACGTCATAAAGATATTACAGTGATTCGATATATGACGTCACATTGATTGTAAGAACCAACTGACATCTTTTTTTAGTCAAGATCTAATATTTACATTTCCTATAAATTTCCACTAGGTTGTTTTTACAAAATAAAATGCAGTATATTTTCTCATGAACTATATAAGGTATGTATCACGAATAAGCATAAATATCTCCTTTCTTACGTCATAGTACCGCTCTTGACGTCAAAAAGTAAAAAATATAGGGCGCACTGTTTTGTTTTAAAATGACAGTTAAACGACGTAGATTTAAAGGAATTAATTCATAAAAAAAAATGTAAATATAAGAAATGAATTTAATTAAGTGAAGAACCATTAATTTGCATTGAAATTATAACTTAATTCAATGTTCTATATTTTGAGATGCAAATAAGAAGATATTTTCATACGCCGCCATTCCGCCAGAAATATCGTCCATTCTAGTTTTCAAGCCCATTTTACCATTTCTATTTAAAGTTGTATAATTGTGTTTGGGAACGAAAAATATGGTCTTTTAAATCTCTTACACCTAGATATATAAGACATATTAACAAATTACCTGGAATATTCCATCTAGCCAGAAACCAGAGAAGAATCCTACCTTAACTGATTTTAGTAAAAATATCATTAGTTTAAATAAATGCATCACATAATCAAGGCAAGACAAAAAAAATAATACAATGATATTTATTAAACTTACATGCACAATTTCCTAAAGGAGATCTATCTCTTATAAAATGGTTTTTCTTTAATTGATAATTTCGTTTCTCTATATTTAATAATTTCGTTATTCTTTTATTATTAATTTCGTTCTTCTTTACTAGTACATGTATTTAATTATTTCGTTCTTCTATATTTAATAATTTCGTTCTTCTATATTTAATAATTCCGTTTTTCTTTATTGAATAATTTCGCCTGCCTAAATTTAATAATTTTGATTTTCTTTATTTGATAATTTCGCTTTTCTTTGTTTAATAATTTCGTTTTTCTTTATTTATTTTTGGTTTGCATTATTGGGCTTCCGTACGATCCTGATTTTATACGAAATGATTTTTTTAATAATTTCGTTCTTCTTAATTTTATAATTTCGTTTTTCATGTTTTTCTTTATTTGATAATTTCTTTTCTCTCTATTTAATAATTTAGTTTTTCTTTATTTAATTGTTTTGCTTTTCTTATTTGATTATTTCGTTTTTCTTTATTTAATAATTTCGTTTTTATTATTATTATTTTTTTTTTGGGCTTCCGTACGATCCAACGAAAGGACCGATAACTCTCAAAATTATTATTTCATTAAAAAGAATCAATGAGGAAATTTAGAATGAAATCTTTTCAAGTCATCTTCAAAACAGAGTTTGCTTGCCCTATCCTCACTCATTTACAACATACGTGATCAATCTCGCCCAGTATCTCCATTTTGACACGTGCACGTGTATGAAGTTTTTGTATTGTGGCAGGTCCCTCCATTCTTGCACGGCATAGAATGACACGAAAGTTCTATGAATAAAAATTCCAATTAGAAAAGAAATCCTTTATTTATTTTATTAAACAGGCAACCAGGGTGTAAAAAGAAGCATAACAAGGGGATTTAATTGTTTTTTTTTTTAACTCTAAAGCTCACAAAATTTTAATACCACTATATTTTGGAACTTTCAGTGTTTAAAATACAAAAAGTCGTAAAGGAAATGTAATTATGTAAAAATATGAATCATATAATTGATAAACATTGAATCTTAACATATTCCAGAAGAAATTAAGAAAAAAAGAATTTACTGCGGTATCTATTTCATTGTGAGTGTGTGTGTAACATTTTATAGTTAACTTTAAGTATTTTCTTTCCTTTTTGTTTAATCATCTACATTTAGATAATGGATCTACTTGAAGAATTGCCCTAGTTAACGGTTGTTCATAACATGCAGTTGAAAGATTTTAAAGTCACACGTTATAGTAAATGTATTCACTTTTAATAATACATACTAAAAAGCTATCACCCTTAACTTTGTATTTTGATTTATTATCCTTTATTCAGACATTTGATACACTTTTAAAAAATCTTTTCTAAAAGTTTAAGACAATAGTATCCTTCAAATGAAATTCTAATGACAATTAAAATTAATTTTTCAAAAAATATTTGATTATATATTCGAAAATATAATATGAAAATATAATAGCATAAAATTGCATCATTTCAGATAATTTGATGAAAGAAAAAAAACAACTTAGTTTTCAATGAAAGAAGGTTGAGAAGGATATATGGAGATAACGAGAAGAAATTAACCATAGAATTAGAAGAACTGCGAACAATAGTATTGTTCTCCCGCCTACTTCAAAATCAGTTTTCAAAAGTTAACATATTTGATGAATTTTTAATATTTTTTATAGATAATTCTATGAATTTTCATAAAACATTACTTATTTGGTAAAACAAAGAGAGATAACTCTAAAATTTGGTAAAACTTGTGGAAAACGGAAAATGTTTTTAAAACATACCCCCCCCCCCCCCATGTCACAAAAATTCCTTTTTACAGGTAATATGGAATGTTATTTCACAAATTCATACCAAAGCTTTTTGTGTGACACGGGGGGTACATATGTTTATTCAAAAAAAAAAACGATAAAAATGCTTATTTTCCATCAATTTCAAATCGATATAAAACTGAAACATTATATTTTATTGAAATATTTATGTTTTGTTCATTTGCCTAAAACATAAGAAAAGATATAAGGAACATTTAATCATATCTAAGACTATTTCAAAATACTGTGATGCTTGAAACTCCGATTTTAATGGAAAAAATCGTCTACCCCCCCCCCCCCCTTTTCAAGAGCTGGATTTATGGATAATTTACTGTTTATCGCTGGTATTAAGACATTTTATCAATTACCATTGAACTGTTCTTTGTATCAAACAAAGATTTTATGGCCAAATTGCTATTCATATTGAATTAAATGGTTCCAAAATGTAGGCGGGAATCGAGAGTTAGCGTGCGTGTTTCTTTCTAAGATATGCTTCATCTATCCCCGACGTCAATATTTAAGAAAAAAATCTTGAGTGATATAATATATTTTAAACGATCAACCCATACTCATTTTCTGCTGACATCTACGCCACGTCCATTTCGCTGGACATTTACTGTTGCTCGATAGTCCGGTCTGATGCAGAATTCTCCTCTGTCGCAATATTTACGGTAGGAAAGGCAGAAGTCACCTCTAACTAAAGTACAAAGATATTACAATGCTTTGATATGAAACGTCATAAAGATATTACAGTGATTCGATATATGACGTCACATTGATTGTAAGAACCAACTGACATCTTTTTTTAGTCAAGATCTAATATTTACATTTCCTATAAATTTCCACTAGGTTGTTTTTACAAAATAAAATGCAGTATATTTTCTCATGAACTATATAAGGTATGTATCACGAATAAGCATAAATATCTCCTTTCTTACGTCATAGTACCGCTCTTGACGTCAAAAAGTAAAAAATAATATAGGGCGCACTGTTTTGTTTTAAAATGACAGTTAAACGACGTAGATTTAAAGGAATTAATTCATAAAAAAAATGTAAATATAAGAAATGAATTTAATTAAGTGAAGAACCATTAATTTGCATTGAAATTATAACTTAATTCAATGTTCTATATTTTGAGATGCAAATAAGAAGATATTTTCATACGCCGCCATTCCGCCAGAAATATCGTCCATTCTAGTTTTCAAGCCCATTTTACCATTTCTATTTAAAGTTGTATAATTGTGTTTGGGAACGAAAAATATGGTCTTTTAAATCTCTTACACCTAGATATATAAGACATATTAACAAATTACCTGGAATATTCCATCTAGCCAGAAACCAGAGAAGAATCCTACCTTAACTGATTTTAGTAAAAATATCATTAGTTTAAATAAATGCATCACATAATCAAGGCAAGACAAAAAAAATAATACAATGATATTTATTAAACTTACATGCACAATTTCCTAAAGGAGATCTATCTCTTATAAAATGGTTTTTCTTTAATTGATAATTTCGTTTCTCTATATTTAATAATTTCGTTATTCTTTTATTATTAATTTCGTTCTTCTTTACTAGTACATGTATTTAATTATTTCGTTCTTCTATATTTAATAATTTCGTTCTTCTATATTTAATAATTCCGTTTTTCTTTATTGAATAATTTCGCCTGCCTAAATTTAATAATTTTGATTTTCTTTATTTGATAATTTCGCTTTTCTTTGTTTAATAATTTCGTTTTTCTTTATTTATTTTTGGTTTGCATTATTGGGCTTCCGTACGATCCTGATTTTATACGAAATGATTTTTTTAATAATTTCGTTCTTCTTAATTTGATAATTTCGTTTTTCATGTTTTTCTTTATTTGATAATTTCTTTTCTCTCTATTTAATAATTTAGTTTTTCTTTATTTAATTGTTTTGCTTTTCTTATTTGATTATTTCGTTTTTCTTTATTTAATAATTTCGTTTTTATTATTATTATTTTTTTTTTGGGCTTCCGTACGATCCAACGAAAGGACCGATAACTCTCAAAATTATTATTTCATTAAAAAGAATCAATGAGGAAATTTAGAATGAAATCTTTTCAAGTCATCTTCAAAACAGAGTTTGCTTGCCCTATCCTCACTCATTTACAACATACGTGATCAATCTCGCCCAGTATCTCCATTTTGACACGTGCACGTGTATGAAGTTTTTGTATTGTGGCAGGTCCCTCCATTCTTGCACGGCATAGAATGACACGGAGGTTCTATGAATAGAATTATTAATTTTTCATCAATCAATAAAGCAAACAATCATTTAATCAATCAATCAAAAAATCAATCAATAAAGCTTACTTCGTGGTATTTTTGCCAATATGACGGATACCACCAAAAAAACCTGGAACAAAAAGAATTTTTATTTTATCAGTAAACGAAATGTTTATCTCCACACCTTTTTAATATTATGATATTAAAAATTTCTTTACACTCATCTTTAATTTACTGATCTTCGTAAATCGTTTATAACTTTATTTTAAAAAGGAATCTCTCTACTGATTTATATTTCATTCTTAGAGTTTAAATTCTGTTTTATATGACGTACCAGAAGAAGGCGTAGTAACATCCTACAGGACATATTTATGGCTCAGAATGAAATGTTTTAAAAATAGGGTACATTCCTTATTTTCATAATAACAGAGGAAATTCAAATTTTTGTGTACATCTGTGTTTTATCGAATTAAACCACGAAACTATCTAGAATACACCATCATTATAATATTTCTAATTTTGATGAATATTAAATGCTTTTTTGAAGATGGAAACATCTTGTCTGTATATTTTTTCTTTTTCATCCTTCAGTCATTCACCGATATAATACAAAATTGTTAACTTATGTACATTTTATGTTGTACTATGACAAAAATATTTCTTTGAGAAATCCTTGAAAAATAAAGAATGATTTTTCTTACCTGGATAAAACACAGCCCTTGTCCATGAGTTTGTTTGTACCAAAAGGGACGTTTAACAACAAAAACAACAACAACAATAACAACAACGAAGTTAAACCTTTTGAAATGGAGGAATTTTCACTTTTTGCAAAGAAAATAATTAAATTTTATCGACCTAACTTACAAATACACGTTGTATTACATCGTATAGTTATATTTTCACTTTACTTTCAACATATTTTTAAATCGAATTCAAGTACCGGTATACTTTATGCATTGAGAATACCCACTATCACGTCTTTTAAGAATATTCAGGTGTCTTTTTTCTTCATTATTGTCTGAAAAGTACATAAAGAGTTATTGATTAATACAAATCATAGTAGATAGGGGCGCTCATAATTGATAGAAATCATTCTTTGCATATGCGAATTCGTGTAAATTTTCGCGTGAGGGGTTCTTTTCCTTCAGAAATGGATGTCTACAGTCGTTGTCAACTTATTTCTCGATAAAGCTTAGTTATAAATGTTTGAGAAATGACGTTTCTTAAAATATTTGAGGGCCACAGATGTGGTCTATATTGTCTGAAAAAAAAATCAACAGAAAAATGATGTCTTTTGAAACTTTTCAAGAAAATATTAGTCCTTGACGCATAAGATATATTAATTTTGTTTAAACTGCATATTACAATTTATGAATTTAGAAAAAAAGAAAATTAGATCGATATTATATGTTGATAAATAAAACATAAATACATATAATATACATAAAGACGCATTAACAGAACATTTGTATTTTTACATTGTTAAAAGAATCAGGGTCACAGGGCTATACTATTTAGGATTTCAATTTCTCTGCATTTTTATCCTTCCGCCTCCGCTTTTGAACTTCTTTTCTTTAGCTTGATTTTATTTTGGACGATCTCAACATCTGCCGTCATTTATCATTCCTCCATCTTGATTTTTACTTAAGATTTTACGTACATAAGATAGTAGTCTAAAGACAGTGTTAAGAATTTAATTATTTTTATACGTTTTCATCCGTTTAAGCATCCTTTTTCCTCTTACTATCTTTTATTCAGTCATTTTCCTTTCCGTACTTAATTTTTATCCATGATCGGAAGATTGTCCGATATTAAAGATATTGTTTCGACTTTTTAAAATTTTTGTTTTTTAAATTAATGTATATATTTTTCAGTTTGAAATTATTCACTATGATGGTTCATTATTTAATTTCTTAACATTTTCTATTTATATAAATTTTCTATAGGTCATAACTTCCGTGGAATAATTTTTATTTGTTGGGATGGGGGGGGGGTATTGTTCACGTAATTTCGTTGATAAGTTATTCTTTTGTAATTCAATTTTTAATGAATAATTAAACAAACAATGATGATTCCACAGTATTCAAATTTATCTTAACTTTTTAAAATCAGAGTTATTAAAAAAATATTTAAATCCATACATGAAAATATCTTTGGACTTTATGTACACGCCTACTTGAACTCAAATAGTTAATCAATAAATATCGCATACATCATGTTTATAATATGGAAACTTTCTGTGGGTCATGTTCTGTACAACAGCCAAAGAAGTAAGTTATTTTAAATGGCTACATAATGTTTATTTTTGCGAAAAAAGGGGCTAAGCCAAGGCCCTCCTATCCCCCTCCCCCGGTTTACCGACGCCTATGCAATCTAATCAGTGCCCTTAACAAAAGTATTACGGTAGGGAGAGGCATCTGGAGAGAATAAAAATAGAGATGGAAATACAGTGTGTTATGAACTTCTGATAACTCTAGATCCGGAGGAACCCAGCCTAAAGAAATGGAGAAGACAGCTGACAAAAAGCTAACTCTTCCTTTTACGAATCGTGTTAACTGAAGATACCAGAGAAGAAAGGCGGGGAAAAATTGTTACGTCACAGCATTTAACAGATTTTCTACTTTGATATCTGTGTTTGGTATAAAAAGATGAATACAGACACCTAGGCATTTAAAGCTGCAAAGTTACATGTGTAAAAACAAAAAATTAATAAATCAGAAACCATTCCATTCAAGCAGTTAAATGGCATTCAACTCATCACCATTCATGTATGTACAAAAATTTTCTTTCAAAAGAAAAGGTATATATCCGGTACGATTTTATTTATTGAGCCTAATAGAAAAGAAAGATGCAATTAAATGAATTTTTATTATATCATCTTGATGTTAAAATTTTCGTTATCAGCGCCCTATCAGAGTCCTTGTATATGGGTCTGTGTCTAAAACTGGGGACTTCAGAACTGGTGGCCATGAGAAGAGAAATAGAGGACATCCAATAAAAATTACGTGATTCAAGATTGCCAAAGGGTACTGGTTTTCTTTGGGGTGGAAGTAAGAGCGAAGGATTTAGACTAGCTGGGTCAGATTTTGATTACATGTATTGGTTAAAGCAAAATAAAGTGATTTGGGATTTAAATCAAGCTCAATTTTACAACGACAGAGCCCTTATTTTTGCCAACTGCACCGATAGCCCACCAGGATTCACATTGCTTCAGCTTTTGTCACCAAATATCCACTGCAAAGCTTTCATAACGACTTGTATTCCAATAAATGGAAAATTTTATATATCTAGTTCTAAACATAAACAGATGATGTGTTTCTTTCAAAGAAAATGTTGTGGGGGTAATTGTGTTCAGCATGGACCATGTGTGAGTGATGTGAGTGGCAATGATGAAATAGATATGGCGTGGTGTTTTGCCAGCGACTTTTGGCCTCCATCTGCCTTCCCATGGATTGAAAGATGTCACAACTGGCCTCCTCCGCGTGCTGTTCAAGATATAGTCAATAAAGGATGCCATTTTGTAGCAATCGGGCACAAATTAGGGAATCATGAACATGATGAATGGAGAATTTCATTCTCTTTGGCTGAACAAAAACTTGTATTCGAAATGAACCATTGTCAATTTCTCGTGTATGGATTGCTAAAGATTTTAACAAAGGAAATTTTTCACAGAATGCTTGGAAATGAAGGTAAATTGCTATGTTCATACCATATGAAAACAGCAGTTTTCTGGGGAATTCAACACAACATAATTTATTTCTGGTGTCCACAAAATTTACTGGAGTGTTTCTGGGTCTGCTTTAAATTGATCCTCAAATGGGTGTACGAGGGAGTATGTCCTAATTTCTTCATACCAGAAAACAACATGTTTCTCCATAATATATATGGCGAAGCACAAAAGAATTTATTCAATAATCTCTATGCACTGTATCAGAAGGGAATAGCATTTCTACTGCTAAGTCCTTCTATCAACTTTTGGATAATAACTTCTCTTTTGGATCCAAGACGCATTTGCACAGAGTACATTAGAATCTTTGAGGACGAGTTTGATCCAGAACTCTTCACTGAAATATCGAAAAAGAATCTGGTATATGATGACCTTCCCTCGTGTATGCGGTGCTTAATAACAGTAGAGAAATTGATAAGTTCACACCTGACGGAGTACCACGTTATCATGTTACTCAGATCTATTGCTGACATATTTCAGGCAACTGCTTTTATATTACACGAACTGAACAAAAAAACGGGTCTAAACAAACGTGTTTATGTCGCCGACAAAACTTCCTGTTACATGGTAAAACAGGCTGCAAAATTTGGATTTATTTCAGATATGTTGTATACTGCCATATATTATTACAAGACATTGCGGTACGTGAAATCTTTGTTTTTCATTAAAACGACAAAGCTCAAATTAACACGGCCATATATACTGCGATCTCATAAAGTTGCCGATAAAAGCTATACAGAGGCCCTAGGAGGAAAACCATTGTCTACAAAGATGAGACAGGCGGTAGCAATGCATATCATTGTTGACGGAAAGACCCGTTACATTAACGAATTAGTACCGGAAATTGCATCAAATAGACAAAATGGCATGTTTGGAATAGCTATCGCAGATCGTGTAATGTTACTAATGCTAGAAATTTTATGCTATATACATATTGACAGAAAGAAAGCACATTCAGCTCTTAATGATCTACAGGATTTAGTCCACCGTGGTGAGGTCGAGATTGAGCCAGGAATAGGAAAAGACATTGCATGGCAAATTCTGGGCATCTGTCAACAGATGACGGGGAACCACAAGGCTGCTCTGTATTCATACCTACAATCACTCCAACAAGATCCAATCCACAGAATACAAACTGCCACGCTGATAAGAATACTGACTTTATACTCAGATCTCAGGAGGTATAGAGAAGATTAACATAAAGTGTCAATGGTTCTTCTGATAAAGATCATAGGAGAAATCTTGTTATCAATGTGGTGCTTTCCTGATAAGCTTTGTTATATATATATGTATGTGTTTTGTATCCACGATTTAAAAAAAATACTTCAAATGCATTTCAAAGGAAACTTTGGTCTGTTCAAAATGAGATGTATCAATCGATATGTATATTACATGTGTTACATGCTTCAGTTGCCCTGTGCCAAAAAAGGAAATCATCATGTTGTACATAAATATTAAAACTTAACCGATTTAATTTAAGGAAGGATTCTTCTCTGGTTTCTGACTAGATGGTGGTTCCCCGTCATCTGTTGACAGATGCCCAGAATTTGCCATGCAATGTCTTTTCCTACTCCCGGCTCAATCACAATTGTGCAACTTTAAATAGAAATGATAAACTGTGTTTAAAACTAGCAGGGACTATATTTTTGGCGGAATGGTGGCGTATGAAAATATCTTCTTTTCTGCCTCTCAAAATTATAATAGAACAATGAATTTAGTTATAATTTTTACACAATCGAAGACTTGGAGAAATTTTCAAATGTAAGTTAAATTAATAATGATGGACTAAACTTTCAAAATATATAAAATAAATATGACTTTTCAAACAAACTAGAACTTTGTTAGCTTTTAAACGCTTCCTATCAAAGTGCAGATTTGAGCCAAAAATCCATAAAAAGTATTTTTTCTCTCTTAGCAAACGATCAAAACTTTTTGTTTTTGTATTATTTTGTACATTTATAAGACTTCTTTATTATTTATGAAAATAAGAAAAAGTTAAATATAGGAAGCATATGAAAATAACTAAAATACCCTAAAAAATTAAGAAAAACAGAGAAAATTCGGATTAGCCAATATCCAGTTAAGTTAAATTAATTATGTAAACTTGGTAATATAACGCTATAGACCCGATATAGTAATATGTTTTTATGCAAAAAGAACAATCTTTAAACTTTTGAAATAGAAGTAGGTATCACATGATTGGCATCAGTATTTTTTGTCATTCTTAATGTCAAGGAAAAAGATAGTGACCTTGACCTGACCTTGCCCCTAATATAAAACGATGAAATTCAATTTCACTGACACTATCACTTACTGATATGATAGGTATGAGAAGAATCCTACCTTAATAGAGATTGTTCTATCTGACGTATCCATATCGAACCATATCGAAGGATAAAACGTACGCTGAACTAGGTCCCCTTACTGATGTACACTAGAGGTGAGCTCTGGTCCCCTACTAATGTACAATATAAGATGTCCTCTCTTCCCCCTACTTTTGTACGGTTTAAGGTGACCTCTGGACCTCTGGACCTCTTACTGATGTACAATATAAGGTGACGTCTGGCCCCCTATTAAATTATAATGAAAGGTGACTTATGATCGCTCTAATGATATGCAATATAACGATAGGGTAAGATAAGGTACAGTATAATGTAAGGTTACCTCTGGTCCCTCTAATTACTTTCATGTTTCTGCTAATATATATATGAGAAAGTAGATCTGTGTAATTTAAATTATAAATATGATTATTTTGGAGTAAGACAAAAACAACTGTCTATCATATAAAATTCAATTAATATATAAGGTGAACTGAGGTCTCTGTATTGATATCGATGAAATTACTTTTGTGCCTTTAATGCCTGAAGAGTTCCTAAAATGTTTTATTACTACGCAAAATGACGAACTATTTGCGGGGGACCTCAGGGCCTAGTTCAGCGTACGTTTTATCCTTCTGCTATACGGATCTGTATACGTATCCGTATCCGTATCGAGGTATGAGAGGCATCTCGATCCCGATGTCTAAACCATCTGGTTACATTTCCATCGTTTCAAGTTTGGTTTTTAACCTTATTCACTAAGAAATGATATGTAGTGTGATTTTTTTTAAAATAAAAACATATATGTTGCTGTACACGTCTTATGCATCGTGTCTTTTTGGGTACAGGGGGTATAAAAGTTTAAAAATGAAATTAGAAAAACAGGTATGATTTTTTTTAAATTTAAATGTGTAGAAAATATTTCTAGATCGACCTCTCTCTCTCTCTCTCTCTCTCTCTCTCTCTCTCTCTCTCTCTCTCTCTCTCTCTCTCTCTCAATTTAAGGGTATTCATTCTTCATTCTTGAAATAACATTTACAAGAACACGACATATCCCAAATAATATATAATTATATATACATTTAAACCTCTTCATCTCAAACTTGTAAATTGTAAATACATGTAGTTGTACATTAACTGGGGAAGATTTCATCAAAGTGCAAAACAAATGTGTATGGGGGATTCACTGAAAATGTCCATCCTCATTTCCTTTTTTATCATCTTCTATGCCATTCATTATCACGTATTTGATGGTCATAGTTCTCCAGAAAAATTTTGGATATCTGGTAATTTTGGGGCAGTATGAATACATTTCCTAAATTGTAGGTCGATAACCGTATCATGGGCGTCGGAAGGAAATAGGAAGGGGAGCTAGTTAAAAGGGGGTGCTAAACCAACAAAAAAAGATAAACCCCAATTTTAATTGCCTATATATAATGTCTATCTTGCAAGAAAGAGGGGGAGGGCTAAGCCGCCCCTACTCCCCCCCTCCCGGCTCCGACGCCTATGCGTATCCAGGGTTTCAAGGAGCTTGAGAAATGACTATATACAAGATCTGAAAGTGTTGCGTTTAAACGCTGTATTTTTTAGACTTGATTGATTAAACACTTGTCGATAAAGGGGAAGGAAAATAAATGTTATGATGCATCTTCCTCTCTTAAGGTATCCGATCCATAATAGCCTCAGATACAATGAATTTAAATGCATAATAGATATATATTGGCTGTATACTCAGTTTATGTAGACATAATCTTCATGTTTTAGTCTTAATATGTAAGAGCAGAATGTGTCCTAATTTTTTACCTTGACCTGTCCTTGAAGAGTTATCCCCCTTTCCTTTAATCAATAAACTTTATTTTTAAAATAATCTATCTGCTAAAAATTATTTTTTAATCGTTTTTTTCTATTCTTAATGATAATATGCATCTTTCCACCAAAGCATTTTTTTTATATTCATAGTATTTATTTTTTTTTTATTTAAAAAAAATATGCTTTTCCCATAGACTTCAATGCATTCTTAATTAATTAATTACTGCTCGGGTAATTATATTTTTGAAAATTCCTCCTGGTAAATCCTTTTCTATTCTAAACAGCTTTGAATTAGTTTCATAGTATTTAATATTGGATGGATATTTAAAGTTAGAAAATTATGTCTTTTTATGGATCGGATACCTTAAACTATTCTTTTTGCATATTTACTTCTTTTCATGAAAGTTACATGATGGAGTTTTTAGTAAACAAAGCAAGCTCTGAAAAACTCACCCTTAAATACTATTGTGTGTGTGGGGGGGGGGGGGGGGCTTATCCCCCCACTTTATTTGCAAAGATGGACATAATATATATTGAGGCGTAGGATAAGCCCCTTCCCCACTCTCAACAGGCATGTTGTATTGCAGTTAACTTAGGCGTCGAAACCGGGCGGCTAGGGGGCGTAGCCGCCCCCCTTTTTTATCCAAAGATAGACTTAATATAGACATTGAACATCGCTGCGTAGGTTAAGCCTCCCCCCCCCCCACTTTCCACAAACATGTTTTAGTTTAGGTTAAATTGATGTGGAAAGTGGTACTGTTTGGAAAAAATTTGCTAGTGAAACTAACCCCCCCCCCCCCTTGAAATAGGATTTTCGTGTTTAGACCGACATTTCTTTTTTTTCTGTCACACACTCACACACAATAGTATTAAAGGATTTTGGACAATGAACAAAAAATTTTCCTTTTTTCTGCTTTTTCAGGGCTGAATTTTTCTCTCTTTCAATTAGCCCCACTCCCAACTTTCAATTTCCTTCCGACGCCAATGTGATGGGGAGGTGAAAAGGAGGGAGTTAATCTGGTTATTCAAAGCATATACTCAGAACTTGTAACGGTCCTGAAGCGAATTATGAAATCAATTTGAAAACTCTCTCTAAAACGGCTACAGAGTTTTATTGATCGCGTTGATGATAAGGTATTTTGTATTTCAGTGTGCGTGTGTGTGGGGGGGGGGGGGGGGGGGGGGGGGGGGGGGGGGGGTATCTATTTTGTTATCAGTTACGTGTAATGGTATAGTGAAAAATACAGAATGAATCAATAAAATATCCTGATATTATGAGAGAGGAAAAAGGAAAAGGAGAAAGGGGATTTTTCAACAAATATTTGGAAACAAAATGAAATTAATTTTGAACTTGGTTTCATTTTTTTTTAATCAATATTTTTCTTCGAAATGATAGAGGTTTACAGCAGTTTAGTATTTCTATAGAAAATAAAAATAAGCATTAGACATACAGTTCTCAGATTTGAAATGCTCACAACTCACATATATTACAGTAATTTTCTTTTCTTATATTTTTGTTAACTAGATAAATATGTCCTACACAAAATTCAAGAAAAAAAACTTAACCTATTACTTTAGTAAATATTTTTTTTAAAAATTTCAAAAAATACCTTCAAAAAGCATAAAATTCTTCAAAATATTAAAAATAAAAATATTTAGCACATTTGAATTTTAGTAAAACTAATATTAAAAAATTCTACAATGTTTAGGCTATGAAAAATCAGTATAAAAGCTAAGGAAAAGAGATTAATACCTTTGTTATAAGCAGATTATCCAACCTGGTCGATTCAGCCTCTGTCAGGAAGTGGTACTTACAACTCTAATTGGATTATCTCTGGTCATGTTTAGACTTCTTTGATGGATATTTCTTGTAACAATATGCATGATTAGACAACAAATACCATAAATTCTATGAAAATTTGGATTTTATAATTCTGAATTTACAAAAAAAGGAATTTAAATGTACATTTTACCTACATACATTCTTCAGGCTGCTGTAAAAAAGGGGAGGCAACTCTGCACTGTAAAGGTACCAAAGAACAAAACAATTAAAAAGCATTTATACATACA